AGGTTTTTTTAGAGAGTGAGAGATATTGTAAGCGTGAATAAGATATGAGATCTCTCAGGTAATTTATATCTCTCTCACTAGTAACCAACTGCCTCACATTAAAATAATAAGTAACCGTTCCCTCCCATCAAGGTAACTGCCAGGAAACTGATTATTTGTTAAACATGTTTCCTTGTATCTAGGACACCATTTTCATAAGGAAACTACCCACTAACCTAATCAAAATTTGTTAAGTCTTTAATTAGGATATCCTTATCCCAAAACTCAATTCTACACCTTATTAATTAATGTCCATAGGTGGGTCACACTAAATAGGTTATAATAATTATAACTCGAAATATTTCACGTGCAATGCATGAGTACATTAACTAGTTTGATAAATATGTTCAAAAGTGTCAGGAAATATGTTTTATATTTGTTGTACTAGTTAGTGCACGCGTGTGTTGCACGCCAACTAATTTTACTTTTTTTTAATAAAAAAATAGATAAATTAGACCAATTTTTCATTATATGAAGATGATTATATATTACAAAATGGTTATTGGATTTTATGGGGCTCATTTGTCTACATGTTCCCTTGTTAGTGGACGGTTATACAAATTGGCACTAATAACATGGGGTAGCTATTACGTTCAAGATTTTTCTCTTATTTTGGTTTGTAAGAACTGAATTGCATTGCATTTAAAAACTGTAATGTTTAACTTTTAGTAAGTGATTAATAGTTGGATAACTACTGATTTCTTTGACTAATAAGAAGTTATTACAATAGGTTATTATTGTCTTTTTAAGAATAGTATTATCAATTAAATTTTTTTGACAAGCAGTGACATTCAAAAGTAGTATATAGATTATTAAATTTATTCAAATATTTATTTTTTAGCGAATTTGGATATGCACTACTTACCTAAAAAAAATACATAAATTAGACCAATTTTTGTTATATGAAGATGGTTATATATTACATAATGGTTGTTGGATCTTATGAAGCTCGTTTGTCCACATGTTCCCTTGATAGTAGACGGTTATATAAAGTGACACTATCAACGTGGGGTAACCGTTACGCTCAAGACTTTTTTTTTCTTATTTTGGGTTATATGAACTGAATTGCATTGCATTTAAAAACTGTAATGTTTAATTTTAGTAAGTGATTAATAATTGGATGACTACTGATTTCTTGGACTAATAAGAAGTTATTACAATAGTTTATTATTGTCTTTTGAAGGATAGTATTATCAATTAAATTTTTTTGATAAGCATAGACATTCAAAAGTAGTATATAGATTATTAGATCTATTCAAATATTTATTTTTTTAGTGAATTTGGATATGCACTACGTACCTACAAACATATGATGTAATTTGGTGATTATTTAATAAAATTGAGGAGAAATCCATGTGCTAAATGTTGAAATCATCTCTAATCTACTTTTTTGAATCAAAACGAATATCTATTTTAACGGATCACATTATTCAAATCAGATTTGGATTGAATTTATATTATTTGGAAAGAAGATAATCAAAAGTCAAACAATGAATTTATTAGTTGAATTAATACAACTAATAAAAAAATAAAAAATTCCTCAAAAAAGGTTAAAGTAGATATTATAGAATTTTTGAAGGATAAATGAGAAAATTCAAAGTTTTTCTCTTAATCCACTTTAAAAAAGATAAAATATATATTATAGAACTATTGAAGGATAAATAAGAAAATCAAAAGTTTTTCACTTAAGCCACTTTTAGTAGTACTAGTTGATGCACATATGCGTTACACATATACCATTCCAAGATTCTTCTATAGCCACCCATTGTCAAATCTAGATCATTGTATTGAGAGTAACTTTTCATATGTGTTGTTAAGTAGATGATAGCTAACTGTTAAGTAGATGATAGAGAGAAGAAAGAGTGCATTTTTAGTAATAAAAAACAAAGAGAGATAAGATAAAGAGGTGTGTTTTTAGTAGTATTATCTACTGACATTTAGTTGTCTATANCCCATTGTCAAATCTAGATCATTGTATTGAGAGTAACTTTTCATATGTGTTGTTAAGTAGATGATATCTAACTGTTAAGTAGATGATAGAGAGAAGAAAGAGTGCATTTTTAGTAATAAAAAACAAAGAGAGATAAGATAAAGAGGTGTGTTTTTAGTAGTATTATCTACTGACATTTAGTTGTCTATAATGAATTTTGTTTAATGCTAAATAAAATTAGATGTTTTATCCAAACAAAATTAAATGTAATGCACCACTAAATATGGTAATCGTATAAAGAGGAAAATATCATAAAAATAAAATTTGTTAACTCCAGAACAAAAAAAAAAGGGTGGGGGAAGAACTTAACCTTAAATTCATTATGTTTTGGCAATGCTTGCATGTGAATATCTCATCACAATAAGGTGNAAAAATTAAATGTAATGCACCACTAAATATGGTAATCGTATAAAGAGGAAAATAGCATAAAAATAAATTTTGTTAACTCCAGAACAAAAAAAAAAGGGTGGGGGAAGAACTTAACCTTAAATTCATTATGTTTTGGCAATGCTTGCATGTGAATATCTCATCACAATAAGGTGCTCTGATCTTGAGTCTCATTTTGTAATGTGAGCACCTAAAATTCATAATATATCAAATTAAAAGAAACCCAATTATAAAAAAACTTGAATTTAAAAGTTAAAATACGTAGAAATAAGACAAAAGAAATGTTTATAATCAAACTGCATAGTNATTCATAATATACCAAATTAAAAGAAACCCAATTATAAAAAAACTGGAATTTGAAAGTTAAAATACGTAGAAATAAGACAAAAGAAATGTTTATAATCAAACTGCATAGTTATGATGAGATAGATACCTGAAATAACTAGATCCTCCCTCCATCAGAGATTCGTCCATGGGTGAATCTAAGACTATGTGGTTCTCGAAGCCACTTTCCATTCTCTTTGAATAAAACTTCAATGAATAAACCAAATGTTCTTTATTTAAAGGAAAATGCTATTTGAATCTAATTTTGGGACCTATTCTAGGGACCTAATTCAATACAACTATTAGATTGGTTATGAGTTCCATNTATTCTCTTTGAATAAAACTTCAATGAATAAACCAAATGTTCTTTATTTAAAGGAAAATGCTATTTGAATCTAATTTGGGGACCTATTCTAGGGACCTAATTCAATACAACTATTAGATTGGTTATGAGTTCCATTTAATATTGGAACTCACAACTAATCCAATGGTTGCATTGAAGCCACATCATTAGGTCTCCAAATAAGGTTTATATAGCATTGTTTTTATTTAAAAAATCAATTGAAATTAATTCGCAACACAGAATTAAAAAGTAAATCGACCATATACTCTAAATAGATACTAGAAACAAAGTGAAACTTCTAATATATGGATACAAGAAAGAGAAAATTTGGAAAATTTGGAGGAATTAAAGTGACCTAATCATATTGCTGGTAATTAAGTAGGGTAATTAATCTAGTNTTCTTTAGCATTGTTTTTATTTAAAAAATCAATTGAAATTAATTCGCAACACATAATTAAAAAGTAAATCGACCATATACTCTAAATAGATACTAGAAACAAAGTGAAACTTCTAATATATGGATACAAGAAAGAGAAAATTTGGAAAATTTGGAGGAATTAAAGTGACCTAATCATATTGTTGGTAATTAAGTAGGGTAATTAATCTAGTAATTGATGTATTTATTATTATTCAATCCTTTGAATACTTATTGCAAAATTTGTAAGGTTTAACAATTTGAATAGTTAAACTTGATTTTAGATTATCATTAAAAAAAGATTAAACATCAATAAAATATAAGAATGTAATACTTTCATTGTTACATAGTACAATTAAAATNTTGGTAATTAATTAGGGTAATTAATCTAGTAATTGATGTATTTATTATTATTCAATCTTTGAATACTTATTGCAAAATTTGTAAGGTTTAACAATTTGAATAGTTAAACTTGATTTTAGATTATCATTAAAAAAAGATTAAACATCAATAAAATATAAGAATGTAATACTTTCATTGTTACATAGTACAATTAAAAAAAAAAATTTCAAATATAGTGACATTTTAAAATAGTATAGATAGATAGATAAATAGATATAGACATAGATAAATATATAAACATTAAAACCATTCAGCAACACAATCTATTGATGTAGAAGTCCAAAAGTTCTCTTCACCATTGTGATTGAATGGAGAATATGAAAAGTTTAATTTAATTTTTGTCATTATATNTTTTTTTTTTTTCAAATATAGTGACATTTTAAAATAGTATAGATAGATAGATAAATAGATATAGACATAGATAAATATATAAACATTAAAGCCGTTCAGCAACACAATCTATTGATGTAGAAGTCCAAAAGTTCTCTTCACCATTGTGATTGAATGGAGAATATGAAAAGTTTAATTTAATTTTTGTCATTATNAAAAAAAATTTCAAATATAGTGACATTTTAAAATAGTATAGATAGATAGATAAATAGATATAGACATAGATAAATATATAAACATTAAAACCATTCAGCAACACAATCTATTGATGTAGAAGTCCAAAAGTTCTCTTCACCATTGTGATTGAATGGAGAATATGAAAAGTTTAATTTAATTTTTGTCATTATATATTTTTAAAAGTTATTATTGAAATTCACATGTNTTGAATGGAGAATATGAAAAGTTTAATTTAATTTTTGTCATTATATATTTTTAAAAGTTATTATTGAAATTCACATGTTCTTATCACCTTTCAATATATGATAAAAATGTCATAATACTAATGTTTGGGGGTAAAAAAGAAAAATAAATATTTTTAAAGTATGTAGACATTTTAAAGTAGTATAGATATAAATAGATATAGATATAGATTATGGTAAATAACTCCAACAAAGCCTAAAAATATCAGAAAACAGTTGAAGATGTTTTTTATTTCTTGATCAAAAAAAAAAAAAAANACACCATCTTCTGTTAAAGAACCTGGGTCACCGATGCCAGTCCATAGCAAACCCCCAGAAAAAATGACAATTTCAAAGCCAGACACAAAACGAGAGCAACCAGAGAAACCCAAGAAGCCTTTGCGGATGAAGAGGATGTCTAGTGCAGGGCTTAGGACTGATTCAGTTTTACAAAGAAAAACTGGAAATTTGAAGGAGTTTTTCATTGTGGGAAAGAAATTGGGACAAGGGCAATTTGGAACAACATTTCTTTGCGTGGAGAAAGCTACGGGGAAGGAGTACGCATGTAAATTGATTGCCAAGAGGAAGTTGTTGACTGATGAGGATGTAGAGGATGTAAGAAGAGAAATTCAGANGAGTACGCATGTAAATTGATTGCCAAGAGGAAGTTGTTGACTGATGAGGATGTAGAGGATGTAAGAAGAGAAATTCAGATAATGCACCACTTGGCAGGGCATCCTAACGTTATATCAATCAAAGGGGCTTATGAGGATGCTGTGGCAGTTCATGTTGTGATGGAGTTGTGTGCTGGGGGTGAGCTTTTTGATAGGATTGTTAAGCGTGGGCATTATACAGAAAGAAAAGCTGCCGAGCTTACTAGGACTATTGTTGGGGTTGTGGAAGCTTGTCATTCTTTGGGTGTCATGCATCGTGACCTTAAGCCCGAGAATTTTCTTTTGGTTGATCACAAGGAGGATTCACTTCTCAAAACAATTGACTTTGGATTGTCAATATTCTTCAAGCCAGGTAAATTTGATTATAATTGACAAGTGATCATTGAACTTCTGCTATAGAACCAAACATGGCAAGTGGCTTATACTGACCTCCTAAATTTGTTATATTTCATTTAATATTTTACTAACTAAAAACAAAGTGCAAATTTGGTTTGAATATGTGTTCAACTTATCAAGGTTAGAGTTTATGATGAAGTTTCCATCATATTTGTTTCCTCCTGGAAGCACTCAAATTATTATTTATGGCCAACGTTCAGTTCATATAGGCTTTGGAAATGGAAAGAATTAATGGCATGTCCTGAAACGATGCTGTTTTGTGGGGGTTCTCCCTTTGTTATTTGTTGACTGCTAACGTGTTTCTATATCATTCGAAGTCTAATAGGGTCCAATCATTGCAAAAGAATATAGACAGAGTAGATCTTCTGTTATGCGGTGTTTGATGTGAACTCTGTTGTCTTCATGTAAACATTTTGTATTGCTGTTATTTATTACGTGTATATTGGTAATGTCTGAGCCACCATAAACTGTAATTTCTAACTACTTATTTTCTCTATTCGGTTTGTCGCGTTAAGCCTTGAATTCATAACTATATTTCTAAAGTAAGTTCTGATCAATTGAGATGTCCTTTAAATTCCAACTTAATTCGTTGTTTTCCCCAGGCAAAAAGCACACCCCTGCCCAAATGGACTTAAGATAATAGTGGGAATCATTTGTTTCTTGTTAAGAGGTCATGGCTACGGTTTAAGGATTGATTTGAGTTTACCTTGGTTGAAGTTTAAGGCTGATTTATGGGTAGATTTAGATGTAACAAGTTGCAGAACTTTCTTGGTAGGTAATTTTGGGGGTTTGTGGGCTATAATGACAAGGTAGGACGGGTTAGGGTTTTAGACTTCAGTTTNATTTATGGGTAGATTTAGATGTAACAAGTTGCAGAACTTTCTTGGTAGGTAATTTGGGGGGTTTGTGGGCTATAATGACAAGGTAGGACGGGTTAGGGTTTTAGACTTCAGTTTGATGGTTTGGGGACTATAAAGCAAGGAAAAAAAAAAAGTGGAGGAAGAAAGGAAATCCTAAGAGTCTCTCACTTGGACTTCTAGGAGATTTCCTGAGAAAAGAAGCTCAATAGAGTCTCACCATGAGTGAAAAAATTGCAGTGAATATCAACTTCATTGAATTGTTTGTGCAAATACTTGCTTATATCCAAGCGACGCTTTTACAACTTAGAAATTAATCAATTGTGGTAGTGCAAAATATGAGGTCAACCTTGAACGCTGAAACATACGTGACCTAGGGGGTTGAATAGATCTTATGCACTCTGATGTAAAACGAGATGCCCAATTAAAAACTTATATCACTTAATTACAAATTAATTTAATTAACCCATATACAACTCCCTTCTTCCAATTCACTATAGATTTATGCAATTAGAACGGCCAACAACACAAGGTGGATTCTCACACGCACTTTATCAAACACATAGAAGGAGTAGAAAATCAAAAGTATTTAAAGAATGACAATCACACAACACAAGCAATTTTTACGTGAAAACCCTCTCAAAAAAATCACCAAACCGTAGTCCACCTAACCTATCCCACTAGTTTCAATGTTAGATTGCGAGTTTGAAGTCTTATACTTCAACCAATTTCATGGCTAGAAGCTTTCTCCCTTAAATCTACGCTTTGGAAATCCACCGTAAGCGTCTTGATAGCTAGATTCAAAAGGTAACGAATCGAACTCCATTATTCGTCCTCGGAATCCTCCTTCTTCTCCTTTTGGAATCCTCGTTTGATCCTTGGATTCCTTCTTGGATCCTTCATGTTGTAGGTTTAATTGTGGCCTATAAGATCTTTAACACTTTTTTATCCAAGTCCCGTGGAATTAGATGTTAATCTCTTAGGAATTGGATTTTGATTTGAGCTAGTGTAAGTTTTCTCAAGTCTATGAAGTCTCTCTTAGACCCTGGAGCTTCTATTTAGCCTCCATGGATGTCTCCTAGGTTAGAGAAGTCATCCCTTATTTACAAGATTTGGAAATAAGAAGTTAATTGGCATGCAAGAAACTATTGTCCACGACACACCGCCCGAGCTGTGGAAAGTGTTGGTTACTGGAAAGCAAATCCGATGCCCCTATTCATGGACCGCTCGAGTGCTCTAACGAGCTTAGAGAGTGCTAGTGGATTTTCCTCAAAACCAAGGCTCTAGTTCAACTAAGATTTTTAAAATTGGGATCCTATGTTGGATTGATGGGAGAAGGTAAAGGATTAGGATTGTAAGATCGGATTGAGAATCGTAAGATCGTATCAATTAGAAAAATCAGACAATAAAACAAATGTAACATTAAAGAATTCTCCAAAACAAGAATTAAACAAGCCAAGTATATATGGAAATAAAAAATTTATGACAAACATAGATAGAGATATGATTGAAATTTGATAAATTATAACTAGAGCTTTGAAGAGGGTTGAAAATAAAACATAGACAACTAATCTTGTGGGATTTTTTGAAGAGGAATAGGAGAATTGAAAATACTTTGATTTTAATTTTCAAAAAAAGGCATACACAAATGAGAAACTGGAAAGTTGAAAAGATGTTTAATAATTTTGATTGTTTTACATGCACACAAAAAAAATGCTAAAAAAAGTAAAAATGTAATACTATCTAACTACGGTCACTTGTCGAGTGAGAATATCAAACCTAACTGTTGCTTTTAACTCTTTAATGAGAAAAATGAATGAATAACGAGACTTTTTGTAAATGAAACAAACTTTATAAGGTTTGTCTCAATGGCTAAAATTTTCTAATGGATTGATAATGATGTAAGACATTCACATTTGGATTGAGCCTTTAACTATTAAAATAATAAATATGGATTGGATTTGGTCAATAATAATGTGCATAGCAAACACATCCAATGACTTGGATCGGTGAAATCACAATTGGGATCCTACGATCCAGATCATGTTCCATTAACATTCTATGAATTTATGATTCTATAAATAACCAAGTTACACCCTCTTCAAAAGCTTTAGATGGTTTTACTAGAGAAATATGTGTGAGTCAAAAAAGGGATTTAAACTAAATGTAGAGCCTCCGTTATATAGCCAATGAAAATTACAATAAGGATAAAAAGGTTAAAAAGGAAAACTATAATAAATCCTAATAAACTAAACTGCTATATCTCCAACACTCCATCTCAAGTTAGGCTCAAAATGTCAACTAAGTCAAGCTTGACAACGAAGTCCCGAAGAATGGATAGAGTGACAGGTTTGGTGAAAACATTCACAATCTGATCACTGGTCCCCACAAACGATGGAGTGACAATACCACTGCTAACCTTCTCCCCGAAGAAAGTGAACATCAATCTCTATATGTTTCGTCCTCTAATGTAATACACAGTTAGAAGTGAGCTGAATAACAGATCGATTATCACAATATAATGTAGATGAAGAAGTCACTGAAAATTCTAACTCACCAAGAATCGATCGTAGCCAGATAATCTCACATGTGCCAAGCGCCAGTGCCTGATACTTTGCCTCTATTGATGAGCGGGAGACAACTGACTGCTTCTTGTCCTTCCAAAGGTTAAGATGAGTCTCTCGAAAAACACAAAAGCCCGTAGTAGATCATCCGTCACACGCTCCCCTATAACATACTAGAGAACCAGTTTAAGATTTTGATGCATAGAACAATCCAAGCCCAGGACAAGACTTGAGGTACCGAAGAATATGATAAACTGCATCATGATAAGGCTGACGTGGTCTGTGCATGGACTGACTAACTCGGCTGATAGCGAATGAAATGTCTGACCTAGTGTTGGCTAGGTAGATAAGTCTACTTACCAACCTCTGATAGATAATCAGATCTCTCAACTCCTCACCTTTAGTAGTAAGCTTCAGGTTTGGAATCATGGGTGATGATGTCGGTTTGCACCTCAGCATCCTAGTGTCTGAGAGAAGATCCAAAACATACTTTTTTTTGGAAAGAACAATACTCCTGCTGCTATGGGCAACCTCAATTCTGAGAAAGTATCACAAAATCCAAGGTCCTTCACATCAAAGGCTTTCCCAAGGTCTACCTTGACCTGCACAGTCCCAGAAACATCATCTCCAGTAATAATAATATTATCAACATATACCAAAAGGATGACACGTTGTCAAGAAGTATTCTGTCGAATGAAGTAGGTATGATCAGAATGACATATGGTGAACCCTAAATGTACAACTATATCACTAAAGCAAGAGAACTAGCCTCATTGTAATTGTTTCAATCCATAAAGAGACTTATGCAGTCGATATACCTTTCCAGCATACTCCCCCTCATCACGAAAGCCTGGTGGTGCATCAATATAAATAATCTCATCCAGATCATCGTGAAGAAATATATTTTTCACATCTAACTGATGAAGAGGCCAAGAGTACTCCGCAGCCCGAGAAATAATTAATCAAACAATAGTTAATTTTGTCACGGGGGGCAAAGGTAACACCAAAATCATGACCTAGTACTTGAATAAAGTCCTTCGCCACAAGCCTGACCTTGTGATGATCAATAATACCATTCATAAGAAACTTTAGGGTGTAAACTCAGCGACAGCAAACAAGNTTGAATAAAGCCCTTCACCACAAGCCTAATCTTGTGATGATCAATAATACCATTCATAAGAAATTTTAGGGTGTAAACTCAGCGACAACAAACAGGCTTCACCCCTGAAGGTAAAGAGACAAGATCCCATTTATGATTATGTTGAAGAACGTCAATCTTTGTCTATATGACAAAAACCCACTAGAGCTCTCTCATAGACTCTGAAACAGAGCGAGGAATTGACGTATCTGATAAGGTCATACTATAAGCTCGAAATATAGGAGAAAAATCACCATAAGACACATAAGTAGAGATCGAATATAAAATTCTAGCAGTCCAACCATAACGAACAACTGGACGACGATCACGTGGCGGATAACGACGCCCTAAATTATCATCCTCCATTGACAATTTTTTATCAGGTAAAGTAACTGAATCAGTACCTGCAATCTTATTAGTACTAACAATAGGTGCATCAATATGCTCAACGAATTGAGAAGTATTACCTACATCGCATGAGGTAGAGAGGACATCAGCAAGGGGGATGAGAGCGAGGGTGACAAACATAAACCTGCAAAGAAAGAGAGAATGGTGACTCTATACTGACAGAGATGAGTGGCTGTGGAGGAGGAGAGATGGATGACTCTATAATTATAGTGATCAATGGCTCTGGCTCCTATGGTAATGGAAAATCAAATGGAGTATCATCAATTGGAGGGGCAGACACAAGACTGGAAGAAAAATAAGAAATATGCTCAAGAAATATAACATCTAGACTATGATACATATGACGCATAATAGGATCATAACACCGATATCCCTTAGACTGATGATAATAGCCCACAAAGACACAACGAATCGCTTTATCATCAAGCTTATGACTAGTAGGAAATCGATCATGAACAAAACATGTGCATCCAAAAATATGAGGGGGGACCAGAAAAAGTGTCAACTCAGGAAATAAGACCTGTAAAGGAGTCCTATGCTGAAGAACACGACTCGGTGTACGATTGTACAAAAAGGTAGAAGTCAAAATAGTAAAATGCCAATAAGATTTTGGTACCCCCATGTCTCTAAGCATACAACGTACCATCCCTATTAGAATCATTTTTTTTCTTTC